GGGGAAATAATGGCTGTTGAGTAGGCAACAATGGGCCTTTCTCTAGTTAAGTGCACATAGGCTCAGGCAGCCAGACTGCCACCACGTGGTTCCTTCCCTGCTGTTGTCCGGCCCGTTTAATGTGGCGCGCTGTCCCCCAGACTTCAGGTATTCTTATGCCATCTACGTGCTGCGGCCAGATCCAGGTGCCCCCTATACTGCTACTTCCTTAATATTTTTCTTTACTCTCTAATTAACTATTTTATCTTCTGAAATTAATTATTTTAAAGGAAACTTTAAAAAATGGAAATGTACCATTTACCACAAATAAAAGGAAACCTTAAAAATAAGTACAGAGGATAGAGAATATTGTTACTGAATTCCGGCTCCATCTTACTTGCCTGCAAGGCTCTGAGCCTGAGGTCTGCCCTTTATGTTGTTGTTAAAGATGTGGTAAAGACAGATTAGCAGTAAGCCTAGACTTTCTCATTAATTTAATCAAAGGAACTGAAAAGAAAATAACTCTGTTTGTGGTTGTCATTCTGTGCTCTGTTATTGACCCAAAGTTCAATCCCTTGGGGGAAGCAGGTTTACAAGAATCTCCTCATCTTACAGACTAGTGACCTCACCTACAAAGGAAATTAGGTTAGTCTGACTTATTTTCCATGAACACGTATCATCTCATAATGATCTCTGGCTTTCTGCCAGCTCCTAAACTATGTTTCAGCAGCCTCTGGGATGTGGTCCAGAAGAGACTAACTTTCTTACCCTGTGGTTCATGGAATTCACTGTCTTTGCTTTTCTTTGTTCTGTTTTCTTCTCCACTTTCTTAAGATCGGACCAGCATTTCCTTCTCTCTGTTCTAACAGCATCTCTTCTGTCCTCTGTGATCCAACAATGCTTGGTTCATTGACATGGCTTATCCAAATGATATTGGTTAATTGCTGTTACTCAATGGGACTTTAAGGGGGAAGGCATCAGTCTAGGAAACCCCATGGCAGAAGAGGTAGCCCCTGTTGGTGCAACCCCAAAACTCAAAAAGAGGCAAAGTAGTGAGCAGAGTCCCTAAAGGTTATAGAACAGGGTACTGAACTAGAGCGTGTGTGGCCCTGGTACCCGCAGGAGCAGAGCATCTTCAGGGTACAGAGCCAAGGATTGGACTTGGGGTGTCTGAGAGCTAGAAGGATGCTCAGAAATGGATGCCATCCCGTGGCTAGAGATGAGAAGACCCCCAAAGGAATTAAGGGGCTTACCTTAAAATTGAACTGGTGTAAAGTAGTAGCAGAGTTAAAATTAGAATCCAGGGGCCTGTCCCCTGCCCTGAGTTACTTTCACTCATTATCTCAACGTCACTCTACAAATACATTTTCTTCCTTCTGCCCACAGTGTTACAATCAGTCTGGGGTCACTCTCCCGCCTTCTGCTCCTACTGTTTTCTTTCCCTTTCCTCACTTATTATCATTTCCCCTTTTCCCTGTTCCTCTTCTTCGTCTCACTCTTCCTCACCAAGGCCCGGCGGGCGCAGCACCAAGGATGAGCCCTCTCTTCTCTTCGGGGCTTCTTTAGGGCTTGTGTTGAAGCTGTAGGAAAGGATGGTCTTTATGCGGATGTCAAATATCTGTGCCCGTGGACCTCCCTCTCGTTCATCTAATGCTGCTGCTTACAGACATCCTTCATGTCAGAGGAGTCAAGAGGGAACCTTGGGAGCATTTGGGGGAAGTACTTCTTCCTTCTCCCCTTTCTTCTGCCTCCTCCCATAAGGAGTCTAGTTGCCAAGTGTGGGTGGAGCTGAGGTCTACATGTCCCTTTTTTCCTGGGCCTTGGGAAACACGAGGCAGAAGTTCAGAGTGGGGGGCATGAGACCACAGCTGCCGTTTCCAGGGCCTGAATTAGAACTGGCAGTGTTTGGGGTTTTTTTTAATTGAAGAAACCTGGTTGAGAAAGACAGGCTGATGCTTGCAAAATTTCTCCTGGAACTGTTAATTGCATGCATGTTTACATGTTGAGTGAGCCTTGCGGGCATGTTTGTATGTGAGTGTGCACTGCCATCCCCCAGCAGGCGTAACGCCTCAGCTGAGATGGTTTTCCTAATGGTTTAAAACGACAAATGTTATTGTCTTGAGTTAAGTGGTTCAATTAGCACTGATTGGAAAGAGTGGGATGAACTGGGGAAACACGCAGGCTGTTTGTTAACAGCCTTGGGGATGGGAGGGTGGGAAAGAAGGTGTTGCCGCTGAAAACAGCTTCTAGGGGTGGCCTGGCCCACTGCATGGCTGTGGGAGAGCTGCCGGGACCAGTTTTTATACAGGGGCGAGAAAGCAATTAGGAGATGGGTACCATCAATCAGTGCAGAGTGTTTGTGTAACCTGCTGCTCCAGAAGATCTTCTGTTCCCACATAAACATCAATCATTCTGCGGTGTGCCACCTTCGGCCCACTCCACTGGCTTAGTACACTTCATGCGCCTCGGGTTGGTAGACAGAGAATGCGCTCTCTGGTTTGTAGTTCCTTCTTGCAACTACTTATATGAGTGTTCGTCTGTCTCTACTGGAGAGCATGTCCTTTGGGGAAGGTTAACAGGATTACAAAGCCTCTCAGAGCTCCTCCTAAGCAGCCCCAGATATTTTGGCCCTATAGTCATTCTTGTGTAGATGTGGGGCCAGAACCTCTACCCAAGAGTCTGCCCCTCCCCAGTCTTTGCTCTTCACCCCCTTTTTGGTTACCCTCACAGGAACAAAACGTTTTCAGCATCATTTCAATGCCCGGATTTTTTCATTCTTCCCTTTCTATACAGGTCTGAGTTTCATAATACTATAGAGGGCTCAGTGATTGATCTGTCTCTCTGCCAAGTCCCCTACAAAGTTTCTTTTTTATTCTGTATAAAAGAAACTAGGCCTGTGCTTTTTGCTTCCAGCCCTCTTTCTTCCTGGCCGCTTCTCTCACGTTGCTATTCCTCCTAACTTTCCCTGCTCCTCCAAGACAAGCAGTTTGCTCTTCAGGTGCAGTCCTGACACAGGGCCCACCAGCTGCGTCCTCCTTCCCTTTAACTCCACCGTGGTTGTAACCACCCATCACCTCTAGACTTCTGTTGGGACTTGAGGGGCCTTGAGTCTTAATGACCTGTAGCGGAGGAGGATGGTGTGATGCTTAGCAGTGTGGACTTAGGAATCAGAGACCTGCTTCTGAATTCTGGTCCTGTCACTGGCTGCATGACCTTAAATCTAAGACACTTAACTTTTTAATCTTCAGTTTCCTCATCTGTAAAATGGGGGTGATACTCGCAAGTAGACTTATGGGAGGAAAGTCCCAAGCGAGCCCCAAGTTATAGGAGGGGATAGAATGGTGCAGTCAGGGGAATAGTAGTTCTCTGAAGGTGACGTGAATGTAAAAGAGGTTCTGAGCTGGTGTCTGAGGTTCATCAAGTGAAAACTTCACTGACACCAAGGAAGTGGGATCAATACACACATAGGTCAGGCTCCCCAGAGATCACTGCACTGTGTATCGGAACGAATCGACCTCTGAGGCACCCTGTAACCCCAGCAGACACCCTCAGGTCCCATCTGTATTTCTAAGCTGAACCAGGAGCTGATGTGCATGTACATGTGTGTAAGAGAGAAGTTAACAGAAAGATATTTATCGAGTTTGCCCTTTTCTTTCCCTCCTTCCTCTTTTTGCATATGGAGGGTTATTCTGTTTGAATGCCCCTACAGAGACAAAGAACTTTGGCAAAAAACACCGTTTCCTGGCAATCCTAAGTCCATCTTTATGTCATTTACACACAGATTCAGTGTGACCCAGGGCGTCCTACAAAGTACGATGGGAGTCCACACCTCATCGTTCTTCTAAGCCCTTTCCCCAAAGAACTCAGCCTTACGGCTCTCCTACCAAGGAAAGAAAGCCTCTACGAGTTTGCCCTCACCAAATCGGGCAGCTCAGCTACTGCACCGTAGCAGTGGAGTCACTGCTGCCAAACCATCCGAAAGGAGGACTTACTGCCGTGTAAAAGTCCAGGGGCAGTGGGCCCCAGGCAAATCCCACCAGCCCCTCAGATGCCCAGAGATCTTGCCGTCAGGACACTCTGTGAAAAAAGCTCGCTTCCACTTCAGGTTCCTGGCTGATTTTTTTGGTCCTCCCTCCCTCCATTTTCCCCTGGTCTTTGGGCCCAAATCCCTCTTCCATTTTCTATGAAAAAAGCTCGCTTCCACTTCAGGTTCCTGGCTGATTTTTTTGGTCCTCCCTCCCTCCATTTTCCCCTGGTCTTTGGGCCCAAATCCCTTATCCATTTATCATGTAGCCCGCAAATGCAGTTTATGTCTGTTGCCCAGATCCTTCTCCGCATTCCTACATCTGTCTACTTGCGACCCAGTCGGCCTTCCCCAGAGAGGTTCTGTGATTATTCGAGAGAACCATTGTTCTAAGAAGACAGGCAAAACCGCGGAGATGAGGGGCTTTGGGAGGGGACAGAGGCAGGTCAGCCCTCCTGTGCTGAGGAAGAACATCATTTCCTAGATGTTTCTAAGCTCTTCTCTGCCTTATCTCCATTTTTAACATAGACTCTTCCCTCCGATCCATGCCTGTCCATGTAAAGGGCAGGAGCTTCACTTACCTGAAAGCCTCCAGTCCAGTAAATACGAAAGAGGAGGGGTCTGGGTTTCGACGGTTCTGCCTGGGTGCTCTGCCTCCAGAGCCCCCCACAGTCTCCCACGAGAGGGTTTTCCTTTCCATCAGCATTCACCACATCTTCACACACAGGACATCTTGGAACCACGGTACAGATTTAAGTTTCTGCCCCGGCCGGATCTGTCTGCCTTTCTTAACATTTAGGCAGAGGCCCAGAAGGCACACTTAGCACATTTGAGATGAACAAGACTGTTCTCTTAAAACAGAAAAATCAAGTTTCAGGATATTTTACAAGTACCGAGAAAGATGGGCTGCAACTTAAGATGTGAAATGTAATTTACCAGTTGTAATAAATGCCAAGTCCTGTGTTTAAGTTAAAAAGTTAAAAAAACAGTTACACATAAGACTACTTTCAGGGATCATTTCTATAGTGCTTTACTAGAGAAGTGTCTCTGAACGTGTGGAGCACCCAAAACCACGGAGGAAGCGCGGTGTTCTCTCCCGAGCGTGAGGCTGGCTTTTGGTGTTGTTTTACAGCTGCCAGTAGCCGTTGATGACCCTTCTTCTTTTCCTTTGGAAGAGAAAGAGGGGGAGAACACAGAGTGGCAAAAAAAAAGCAGTTACACAATTACAAGAAGGTGATGTAGCTTGACGGCAGTTCATTTGAAAGTTACCCCAGTTTGTTTACTACAAACTGTACACTAACAACCATGTGAAGTGACTGATAAAAATTACATTAATAAAGAAATAGTATAGACAGAACAAGGTAGTTTATTCTGCTCTGCTTGAGCAACATCTGGGATATTGTGATCAATAGTGAGTGGTGTGTTTGTAGAGAGTCCTTGACAAATGGGAGGAGCACTCCTCAGAAGGGATCGGGGGGTACAGAATGTGGGGGCCAGGTCCAAGTGTAATGGGGACCACGGGATGGAAGGAGAGGACAGAAAACACACGAATGATATGAACGGCCATTACATGCAGGGTGGAGACAGAGAATAAACACTGTTCGTGGGCCCACTTTTGTTAAACCCTGTGTTAGTCGCTCATAAACGAATCTTTTCTCACGTAATCCTCAAAAGCAGCCCTCAGAGCCAACTTTCCCAATGTTACCTACTAGTAAATAAGAAAAAGGGATACGATTTATTCCAAATTGCTCCAGACTACAAAACTTAGACCAGTAGAAAGTACGAGGGGGTGGGTTTTAACTTGAGAGAGGGCTTTCTCACAGTGAAATGGACTCTTGGGTGGAGAGCTCCCTGTTATGGAGAATTTGGAGGGACGCTGATCATCTCCTAGATGTGGAAGGAAGGAGGGCGACCAAGAGGACCTTTAGTTCAGACGGGGTGTTCTGTAATTCCCTCTGTCTTTCCGAGGGCAGCATCAGGCTTTCCGAGGGCTGCTGGAAAGGGGGAGAAGGCTGGAGCTGCCGAGAGCCCTTTCTTCTGCTCGGCTCACAGATTACAGGCCATTTACACTAGTCTTCGTCTGGTGCCCCGACTTGCTTGTCTCGGTGCCTTGAACAAGCTCTCAACCTGGCAGCCTGTCTGTCAAGGTTAGATCTGTCCCGCCTCCCCTTTCTGGCTCCCTTCATTGCCACAGCTTGTCTTCCCACTCAGGAAAGCGTATTTTGAGGAGGCTCTGCACTGTCTCCTCTTCCCTGTCGGTGCAGTGTTCCCAGCAGCAGCCACTGAGGGGGGCGTTGCCATCCTACCTTCCAAGCTGAGTATGTTGACAAGGCCCTGTATGTGTCTGCTTGCTCACGCTGCAGCCTGATCGATGCCTGTCAGGGCTCAGCATCGGAGTGACAGCCACTTGCCAGGCTGTTGACTGAACATAGCTCGTCCGTCAAGAGCAATCAGACGAAATTCATCTCCCGTCCAAAGCTTAGCCCAATTGGGCTCTGTATGGAACGTCATTCTTATATCCCACCCTACTTTTGTGCCTTGAAAATTAGTCCCCCTGGGGTTTTGGTGCTACAGTGATGGGTCCCATGGGACAGAGAATTACGGTCAATAGGACGATATGAAGAGACCAGCACCAACCCCTACCCTTCAGGAACTTCCAGTTTAGAGCATCTGGCTGCTGTATGGGCAGTGCTGGTTTAGTGCAGACAGAATTGACACATAATTTTTTAATTGGTTGCTATAAAATAGCACATAAATCAAAAAGAATTAATTTAAAATTTTGCAATTTTGGTCAGAGTGTGACCAGATTAAATAAGTGTGTTGCAGACAATTGGTGGAGAAGAGTCTCTTTAGAATGTCTCATTAGACAGGTAATTAGAGGGTTTTAAGGCTTTCAAATTGACAAGAACAAATTTTGGCAAAGGTTCTGTGGTTGTAAACCATTAGGGGCTGTGAGAAGCCCTGTCACCCCGTGCCTGGCAGGAAGTCAGCTAGCCATTTCTCTTTCCTCTCCCGAAGGCCTCTTTTACCCCGTACAAGCCTGCACCAGAATCTTCAGGAAGACCTTCTCTAACCCTCAGCCACTGCAGCTCTTCCATCTCCCAAGGTAGCTGACTCTTAAGTAAAGAGCTCTACTCTGTTGCCTACCTCAAGTTGTGCCAGGTAGTTCTGTCCCCTTTGCCTGCCCTTCCGTCAGGGATCTGAGTGACTTACTGGTGTCAAAAATGTTGCAGGGGGCCAGTCGCTTTGGAAGGTAGTATTTTTTTCTCCCACTAGCTAGAAGACTGGAACACAAAGTTGATCAAAAGACAGAAGTGGATGTCTGGATGGTAGGGGAAGGAGGTCAGCCCAAGAGCAAGAGTGTAGAACAAAGCAAGCTGAGGAAAATGAGGTCGGGGGAGGGGGCAGTACAAAACTAGCAGGCAGAGGACGGAGATCCTAGGTGAACTGAGAGACTAGGGAGAAGCCAGAGTTTAGGACTGGCTCGCTCTTTTGCTGGTCCTCAGCCTTTCAAACGTGGGAAGGATTCTGTGGTTCAGCCCTCCCCCGCTTGGGCCTCCTGGCCCCAGGCTGCCCTATATCAGCAAGCTGAGCTCTTCCCCAACCCCGGCCTGTGGACTACAGCAGTCACAACTTTGTGGCCCACACACAGGGGCTGTTCTGCAATAAAAGAAAGTAAACCAAGGTAAAGGGAATGACTGGTGCAGGGGGCAGGACCCTGGAGAGCTGCACCTGCCACCACCAGTCTTCCCTGCACCACTGGTCACGGTTAAGGCCCTGTCAGTAAGTCCTCTTCAGTCCCCTGGGCCTCCTTTCTGGGGCTGAATGAGGGACCCACATAGTGGTTGGCTGGAGCAGCAACAGCAGCAACAAACGCATGTCTTTGTTCAGTGTTCCGTAGACCAGAGGCCTCAGGGCCTTCTCCATGGCCCTCTAGGGACAGGGAATAGAGAGTGGTTGTGTGTCCTGAGACAGACTGGGGTTGAGAGGACGCGCAAGTTCTGCCCCAGGCTGCCTCAGAGCCCAGCCTTTATAATACAATCTCCGCTGTCCTACACCTGGGGTAAGTGCCTCGTAACACAGAGCTGGCTGGGTGAGGTAGAGTCATGGACCCATTGGTGTCCTAAGAGAAGTGGGGAGAGGCACAAGCATCTGGCTGACTGTTCTCCTGAAGCCCCCACCTCACACATACGCTTTTCTGCACAGTGTATTTATACCTTGCATGGAGGTGGGCGTTAGCCATGGTTCAAAGTCACCAATAATTTTCATCTTGTCATGCAGCATGTCTGGCCCTTTGATCAAAGAGCTTTTAAATTTCTCCTCCTTGGTCTTCTTTCTTCACATCCTCCCCCTGGTTCCTCCATCCCTGACCTGACCCAGACTCATGGATGAGCCTCAGCTTTCCTCACACACACCAGGCACTAAATCTTTCCTGCCTGCCTCGAGACCTTCCATCATTTCCCAGGCTCACCTCTGCCGTGAATGCTTAATTTAAAACCTCCGCCGCCGCTCCGCAGTTTGTAATTCTGAGGCTCATTTCAAAAGAGGAAACGAGCCGATGAATGTGGTCAGAAAAGTGAGCAGAAAACCACACACACAGTATCTGTGATGTGGGGAAAGGCTTTCTTAACTATTTAGTTTAATAAGATAAATATCAGCAGTGTTGAGTTATTCTAATAGGATGGCTAGCTGCCTGATCTGTGGCCTGCAGGATGGTTAGGAGTTTTCAATATCCTGATAACTCACAGTGGTGAATTCTCTGGGCTTTTCAACAATAAACTCAGTTTTCAGCTGGGGAAGCCAGAAGGATTTTGTTTTGGTGAGAGGATTAAAAAGGCAGATTGCCATGGCCAGGTGGCTTAGGTGATTGGAGCATCACCCCATACACCAAAAGGTTGCGGGTTCAGTCCCTGGTCAGGGCACATACAGGAGGCAACCCATCGATGTTTCTCTTTCTCTCCCCCCTTCCCCCTCCCCCTTTGCTCTCTCTAAAATCAGTAAACATATCCTCGGGTGAGGATTTTTTTTATTTTTTAATATAAAAAGGCAGATCCACAAGGGGAGTTGGGAGGAAGGAAGGTAGGCCATGTTCTCTCCCGTCTCTACAGCCTGTGGGCCACTCCCTTCCACCTCGTGGGAACTGTCCATTTTCCTGGTTCTTGTCACCTCGGTGCACCCATGATGTGCCCCCTGTAGCTTCAGAGGTATGAACATCAGAGATTAGAGCCCGCGTTTGCTGTAGCGTTCCTCTGCAGAGCCTGGAGCAGCATGGACAGAATGAAATAGGAGTGATGAAATCTGGCCTCGTGGCAAGGAGGTGCCCCGAGCCTGACCACGCTCAAGAGAAGGGGTTGCAGCTGGTGGCTCTCCCAGGCAGGCAAAGAGGTGACGAGTTCCCGGGGCTGGGCTCATGCTGAGCAGCCAGCAGAGAATAGATGCAATGAGTCCCAGAGGGTAATGAGGCCAGAACACTGCTAACTGGAGTGCTCAGCGTGGGATCATTGGGGAAACCAGCTCAGGCAAATCTGTGCAGAAGGAAATCTCAGCTTTCTTAATGACTTTCTTCCTTTATACTGACACATCACCCCTTGGTCCAAAAGCAGAGCCGCCTGGGCCAGCAGGAAGACGTGTCTCTCCCAGGTCCACTTCCTGGCCTCTCTCAGCATGCCTCCGTGCCCCGCTCCGAGCTCCTATGGGCCTGCTGCCCCCTGGGTCAGAGCTTCAGAGAACTCTTAGACATCTGGGGGTGACTCTCCCAATGTCAAGAGCCAGTATCTGCAAGTAAGCAAGACCGTGTTCAAATTCTGGCTTCTCTACTTACCAAATGACCTTGCTTAAATTCTTTAATCTCTGTTAGCCTCCTTTCCTTATCAATAAAATGAGACTAAAAATAACCACTTCACAAAATGGTTGTGAGGATTAACTAAGGCAATATGCAGTCTGGGAACCTAATTCAGTGTGTGGCACACAGCAGGTACTCAATAAATGTTAATTCCCTTCCCTCTTCCCTGTAATGGGAACCTTCAGATGTAGGGAACCATCTTTTCCTTCAGATGCAGAAGTGAAACTGCAGAGCCTTCTTGCTCCACTGGTCATCCCTGGTCGTCCTTCCGCCCTGCTATGTCTTCCTAGAGATATAAGGCTTAAAGCACGAAGATCTCCCCTTGCAGGGCACGCTGTACTCCGTTACAACTTTAACCTG